CCAAAATCAATTCAGATATCACTTGTAAAACTACACTTAAACAAGATGAGAGGCAAAAGCACAGAATATAACCAAATTATTGCCAATTACGGAAGTTCTCATAGAAACTACATTGCAAAGTGATCTTGTCATTCAACTAAAAGAAAATTGAAATATAGAAATGAAAATGTATTCTCTGATGGTTGATTCTACATTGATAAAACAGATCACAGCTTGGATTGATCATCTAAAAAGCATATTACTACTTACTTAGGAGTAGTACATTAACAATCTTGACAAGACCAAGCCTTCATAATTTAAGCTAATATTATCTGGGTACCTGTGCAGCAATGACATCCGATTCTCCACCATCTGATTCCCCTGATTTTTCATAACTTTTGACCAAATTCTGCCAGAAATTTTTTAACATGAAACACTTAAGCTCAACGCACGCGGAAAAAAAAACTAAGAAAAGGTTTTTAAATTGACAAATAGATCCAGCCTTGTTACAATTTGTCACAGGACTCCTCAGACATTTATTCAAATAACACCATAATATGCAAACCAACCTTCAAAACCTATTCCACCATTGCAGTTTTAGTTAATAAAGTAGCTCATAATCAGTAGTTGACTGTGGCACTGCTAACTTTCAAAGGCATATTATAGCTTCATCTAGTTTTGTTTTCACTCTCATTGATATCATCTACTTCGAGATGGGAATTAATGGAACATAAATTAAACCACTATGTGGTTGAAGTATTTTACCTATCAGCATTAGTGACCCCAATAAGAAACCTAGTCAATCGTTGCATTATTGTTCACAAAAAAGATCATACTCACTAGTTGACTAAGGCACCTCTATCTTTCACATGCATACTAAATAACTTGCCTTGGTTTTCACTCTTATTCAGCTGTCTATTTAGAAATTGGTATTACTAGAATATAAATTGAGCCATTACACGATTAAAGCACTATACCACATGCAAATAGTTGATTTCAATTTAAATTACCCAGTCCAAGCTCATTGAACACACAACACTCACCAGAGGCGGAGCCAGGATTTCAAACTTATAGATTCGGGATTCTAGTACTTCTATATTACTGGGTTCTAAATTAATAATTTATACACACAACAACAACGGCAACAACAAACTAAGTGAAATCCCACAAGTGGGGTCTAGGGAGGGTAGTGTGTATGCAGACCGATCCTCGGCACAGTAAAAGCAAAGTCACAGCATTGTTGAAAAGAAATAAAATGATGGATACAATTCCAATGAATTTATACATAATTCAATGAATTTCTTAAGACAAGGTTTGGACCAAAGCTACAGAGATCAGCGAAACCCGTAGCCGAAGGGCTAGCTCTGCCCCTGCACACACACATGCAAGCGCGCGCTCGCACACAAAACAATATATAAATGTACAATCTCTATAACAGAATTTAAATAACACAAAGCAAATCGGAACTAACCTGAAGCTCGCCTATCACATCAGATAATTTACCGTTTTTGAAAAGCAAAGTACCTGTATACCCTAATATGCACACAACACACATATATTATCAGATCACATAACTAAAATCAATCACAAACAAAATTAGCAAAAATCTCAACAAAAAAAAATAGAACATAATAGTCGAAGAACAAGTGTGTGTGTGTGTGTACCTGCTCCGACGATAAATACGATCTTAGTTAAGCCTACTCCAGCTTGCATAGCCATGGCCGGCGTTAGTCCGGTGATCAACAAATCCTAGGTCTTTTTATGACTCTCCGGCAAGTGATTTCGGAGTTAAAAAATGTAAGAAGTGTGAGACAGGAGCTATATCTGGTATTTATATGCCTATATTACCCTTTCGCGACTTGTGTTAATTCGGCCACGTCAACCGTGTGGCACGTTAATGTTTTTTTTTTTTTTTTTGAATTAATTGCACGTTAATGTTTTACTTCTTCCCTTTTTCATCTCGTTCTTTTTTTGGAGATTTTAGTTTTTTAAAGATTTAATTTTTGAGTTGTAATTTTATTTAAAAGATTTAAGTTTTCTTATAAAATAGTTTAAACAAATACTTTCTGAAACAAACAAAATAAAAAATCTTAGTAAAACTTGAGTTTGTGAATTCAAATTTTCAAAACTTAAAGCAAACTTCAGCTTCTTCTTTTTTGTGCTAGAATTATTATTCTACTTTTATAGTTTAATTTTTTCTCATATTAAAAGTTAATTAATTATACGTATTTTCACTTTTGAAATATGGTGAAGAATTTCGATAGTTGTATATTTCACAAATTAAGTGAAACGTTCCTCCGATCCCCTTAATGTTACACCAACACAACTACCCGGTGAATTCTCAAAAGTGAAGTCTTGTAAGCATAGTGCGTACGCAAACCTTATCCCTATCCCGAAAAATAGATAGTCTGTTTTCGATAGTCTAACACCAAAAAAATAAGAAAATAAAACTTGGAGAGAAAGAAAGGGGTGATATTAAACTCTATCAAGGTGATCATTAGCGCGTGTAATTTATTACAGTCAAACCTTTTTATAATAACTTTGTTGGTTCCAACTATCTTTTTTACTATTACAGTGAATTGCTATTATCAAAAATTAGTTCCAAAAACAATTGGGCCTTATAAAGCAATTTGAATATGGAATGTTACGGGGTGATCTATCATGTCAGGTGCATGTAAACTTAGTAGCTTTTGTACGATATATGTATTACAAAATTATTGAATATCTATAAATATTTAATTGTGAGATCAGTTATATTATATAATGAGTTGAGTCCGCTGTAAAAGCTGATAAATTTTAAATTAAGCGATTTGCACCCGATCATCTATGGTGAGGTAGTGTTACATATTATTTCTATTGTTTTGATTCCAATGTGAGCTGCAAGGTTAAGAAATTCTATAAATTTAGATCTTGACGGGATTTTCACTATTATTGTACTTGATATATATAGAGGCGGAGTCAGAATTTAAATAGTTTGAAATTCTAATTCGTTTATGTTACTGGATTCTAGCTTAACAATTTATATATAGTCAATGAATCTTTTTCGATAAATATAGAGTTTGCACCAAAATTACTATGTTCGACCGAACCCGTAAATCCTATGCCAACTCCTCCCCGGATATATATGTGTCTATAACCGTATACTCTAATGGTGATGAGTGTTTTATTAATGTAAGTTGAGATTTGAGATTGTTATTTTACATTGTCAAACTGTTTTAGTACTTTCCCTATTTCAATTAATGTTTTACTCCATCCATCCTGCTTTAATTGTTACTTTAATTCGTTTCATGCTCGTCAATAAAATAATAAATACATGATATAGTTTACAAAGTTACCTTCTATTAAATATTTTTTTAAGAATTGAGTAGTATTAAAAGGATTTACTATTTCTTAATCTCAAGGGTATAGTTGAGAATAATTGAAATCAGTACTGGATTCATAAACCTTCAACTATTTTGTAACAACTTTTTGATTAAAGTGACTGTTAGTTCGGGACCGAAAGAGTAAGTAATACTCCCTCCGTCTCATATTATTCATCACGATTCTCTTGTACACATCCCTTAAAAAAATTAATTAGAATGAGATTTGATTATTTTACCCGTATTCATATTTTAATATTTAATATATTTTCATGGACATTTGAACAAAGTTATCCATAATTGAGTGTTTGTCGTCTTCAAGGTCAATTATTACTACTAAGGGTAACAAAGGAAAAAGATAATCAATTTTGTCTTACACTTCTAAAATGACAAATAATTTGAGACAACTATTTTTAATAACCACGACTTATAATATGAGACGAAGAGAGTAGCATTACCAGATTCCAATGTATGGTCTTCATCAAATGTGAAAAGAGTACTGGTTCTATTAATATAGGTATTGCAAGTCACCTTGAATTTATATTTTCTCCTCAATTTTATGTACAGACAAATTTCTTTATAACAGTCTCGTTTTATTCCAAATATTTTTGGATGTTATAATGAAGTGCTGTTATAGAAAATATATATTATAACATAATATAAAAATTTGTTCCGGAAAAACTTGGCTTTTATAGTGAAGTTTTGTTATATAAGGATAATATTATAGAGAGGTCTGACGGTGATATATGTAAAATAATCTCTTTATTCAAAATCTAGAATTCAGGCTAACAATTTATTCTTGTTAGAACTGATAGTTGTAAATAATGCTCTATTAGATGGAGTAAAAATAGGGAGGTTGCGGGGGAGAGGAGGGGAAAGACCTTTTTAACTATTATCTCCTAATTAATTGGCTATCAAAAATATTATCTCTCTTTGAATAGAGTACTTAATAAGGATTATTATAAATTAGATATATGCTTGGTTGCATCCATTTTTTTTTGTATAACAGTATATAATCAGTGACGAAGCCACATAGCTCCAAGGGGTGTCAATTGACATGTTGGTGTGTCAATTGACATGTTGGTGTGTCAATTGACACTTTTTCGTAAGAAAATTATACTGTTTAGATAGGATTTTTTATTTTATGTTTATATACTATGCACTGAATCACCTTGTCCTGTGTATGTTTACTTCTTTAAATTTTGACAACCCTTAATAAAAATTATGGCTCTACTACTATATATAGCATTAAGCTTACATTATCAATTTATTAACCTGTTTGGCCAAGCTTCTAATTAACTTATCTTGAGAAGTACTTTTGTCAAAAATATTTTTTTTAAAAAGTACTTTTTGTGAGAATCACTTTATGTTTGACTAATTAATTTGAAAAGTACGTTTGAGTGCTTTTTAAAAATACTTCTAAGTACTTTTCAAAAAATGTTTTTGAAGAGAAGCTACTTTTTCTCCTTCTTAAAAACTGTAAAAACATTGTTTTTTTTCCTTTGAAAAGGTTAGTCAAATACTTTAATTTTAAGAAAAAAACACTTTTGACAAAAAAAAAAAATCGCTTTGCTTTAAAAAAAAGAAGGCGGCCAAATAAGCTATATACCAATATACCATTAAGCTACACAAATATCGTAAATATAAAATTTAAATACTTTAATAAATAAACGTACAAAATTTGTGAAGCAGAACTATAAGTCAACGGATAAGCACCTGGAAGAAAGAGAAAAACAACCGTCGTCAACTGTCGTGTCCGGCAGCATCTCCACCGGTCACCACCGGCTGAAAAGAGCAAAAACCACCGTCATCAACCACTGCGTCAGCCGGGCACTCCATCGGCAACTAACGCTTAAGCTGCCGGAAGTAGAAAAAAAATGTCCATTTTGCACTCGCCATCTCTCATTTTCAACACTAAAACCACCATTAAACCCTACTGCCTCATTTCATTTCTTCCTTATTCTTCAATCTCGAACTTTAGATTTAGAAAATTTACAATTCATTCATCCTTTTCATTATTTAATGATCCTCAAGATTTTTTTGTACCAAAATCTCCGGGCAATAAACTCAACCAAAACGACAGCAATTCTGATGATAAACAAATCTCATTTGTTGATGAGTGGGGCGAGAGGTCGGAACCGGATACCCGACCCGTAACGAAGTTATCAGAATCGGATCCTCCTATAAATGATGACGAATGGGGCAGAGGAGCTGAATTAGTGGGGAGCAGCAACAATCCAGTAATTGAAGATGAGTGGGGTGAGAAGTCGTATCCGGAGCCCCGGCCCGCTCCGACAGTGTCGGATTCGGATCCTCCTATAGACGAAGACGAATGGATCGGAGCTAAGCCAGTTAAAAATGAGAGCGTTTCTGATAATAAAACAGCGTCGGATCCGGAGACCCGACCCTTAACGAGATTACCAGTTTCGGATCCTCCGAAAGGTGAAGAAGAGAGGGTTGCAGAGCTGAAAAGGTGCTTAATGGACACGGTTTATCGGACAGAATTTGGGCTCAGGGCCTCATCGGAGATTCGGGCCGAGGCTCTGGAGCTGGTTTCTCAGTTGGAGGCAGCAAATCCAACTCCGAGCCCAGTTGAATCACCTGAGTTGCTTGATGGGAACTGGATTTTAGTGTGAGTTGTTGATTCTCATTTCTCTTTTTAAATTTTCTGTTTTTGGCTTTATGTACTCGCGGTTGTATGAAATGTATGTGAATCAAGTGGACTAAGTGGCGGATTCATATTGTTGTTCCAACTAAGTTGGGATCAATGAGTAGTTGATTGGAATAAAAAGATTTATATAGGCGATACCAATTAGTAGTTGGGAATATATTTTAGTTGTATTATTTGTTCTTGGAAACAACCTCTCTACTTGCACAAGGTAGGGGTAAGATTTGCCTATACACTATCCTAGACCTCACATATGGGAATATAGTGACTGTATTGTTCTTGTTGATATGTTTTTTAGGTGCTATATCTTCTAGGAATATTTTAGCCATTTTGGAGAATTTGGTGGTGGTGAAAAGTATAGAGAACTTCTAATACTCTTTATTTTTTTTATTCGGCATAATGTGGTCATGCATAATATTGACATGCGATGATTTAAATGGAGTAACATGATCAGTGGAGATTCATATACTAGACCCCAATTTGTTTGGGGTTGAGGCATAGTTGTTACTACTGTTATCTGCATAATGTTGGCTTGAGATGAGAATTATGGTTAATAAGGATTCATATAGTTGATCCGGCTTGTTTCGATTGAAGCATATTTGTTATTATTGTTGTAAGGAATAGTTGATTGATTTGTTTATGTACTTGCGAAGCTATATGAGATTACAGCTGACAGTATCATTTAAACTGATGCTGCCATGCTTCATTTTCTTCAAATTTCCTTCGTTGTTTTGCTGAAAGTAGCTCTAGTCTTGGTATTTTGAGTGAACATGCTAGCTAAGATTATACGATAAAACAGTTTGAATTCGATTTTTTGTTAACATATAGATTCATCGTGAGAGCTTGAAGGGAACTGATCACGCCCAACTATGCCTTATAAAAGGACAATGCGGACGTTGCAAATATAACCTGAGTATTTATGCCCAGAGTCGAATCCACAGAGAATTAACCTATCAATTACTTTCGTTGGACTTACTAAATTCTTTAGAATCAACTTCCCCAAACGTTGTGAATAACAGTTGATGGTATATTTAATAACTAAGATTGAAAGTCAATAAATAATTGTAAACTAAATATGCTTAAGTTGTGAACAATAATGAGAAGGTTCTAAGGTAGTGATTTCCCCTATTGATGGAATCCCTTCTGTTTATGTTTCATATAGATTTACCAACACATCTCTATCAACCATGAACACTCTTTTTACCGTGAATCTCTCCCGAGTAATCACGATAATTTACTAGACGCACTCCCCCGAGATACGCTAGCTGGCTTTGTTTATTACAGTTCACTTTAGATTGCACCCAAGACTTCGTTATCCCTAATTCCACCTTTAAACCCGCAGTTATAGATCCCTCTTATACTTTAGTACNGTTGTTCAACAATTACCTAAATATGCACTCTCTCCCGAGTTATGCATACTAAATAGGCACAGCTAATTGAGGATCCTGTCAATTAACTACAACAAACACGTAGTTGAACAAATAGAGATTAAACTGGCAAACTATATTAACATAATCAAGAAGTTCATCCTTCAATAGGTTCTATCAAAACCCTAGACAAAAGATTTAGCTACTCATGACAATGAGTAAATAAACTTTGAAAATATTCATGATCAAAATTGCAAGAAAAATAAAGAGAAGAAGAAAATATGATGTTTTGGGTGATCTCTCACACTTGTTTCTCTTGCCAAAGTACTTTCTAAAACATTACATGCCTCCCTTGGACGAGTTCTATTGTTTAATATAGGGTTTTGGGCTAAAAATCCCGTGTTTTGCACTTCAGTCCCTCAATTTTTTTCGCTTCCTACCGCGGTTACGCCAGGACCGCGGCCAACTAGCCTCTCAGAATCCGCAACAGCCTTCTGCCGCGGTCAGACCGCGGTTACGCCGGGACCGCGGCAGTCCATCTCCAGTTCTGGTTTTGCTGCCTTCGCGTGGTGCACTTAGCG